AAAAAAAAAAAAAAAAAAAAAGAGAGGGAAAACTAAGAGCCAGCATTTTCTGAGGGGGGCCTCATGAGGGGTGCTTTGAGTCTTAAAAGTTTGCAAACCACTGCTTCAAAGCAAAGTGAAAATTGCTGCTTGGGTCTGTGCTGACCCCACTGAACTCAGGACAAGTAGCTGCTACCAAAATGCTGCCTTACCCTAGAGCAAGGCTGTGAGGATGGCATTTTCAGATGCTGTGAAGATAAGTATCATAGAAGAGCCTATAAATAAATTGGGAGATGGCAACATGATTGTGTGCTCACTTCAGAGGAGTCTTGAAGTCAAGAAAGAATACTTTATATCTGTAGAGATCAAAAGTGTTTTTCAGGAAGGGTTTAGTGCAAGATGTCTAAGGGTGGTTGTTTAGTTGGAATAATCTTACTGTGTTTCAGTTGTGCATTTCCTTGTGAGATCTGCCTGTCTCTGCAAGATGAAGTGAAATATTTGGCATTATTTAAACAAACAGGCTAGAAATATGGGGTGAGATTTTCACACCCTCCCTCATTCTGGCCCTTTCTGTCAGGCAGGAGGACCAGAGCTGCATAAAGTAGCACCGTGTATCCAGTTGTGGGAGGATTTCCCTGGTGCAGAGACTATAAGACAGCCTTAAAATAACCTTCCAAGGATTTCCCACAAGCCCTCATGTAGGGATAAGCCAGGAGCAGGGCTAGAGCGTGGAGTGCTGTGGAGATGCTGGACAGCTTAGGAAAGCCTGCCATAACTCAGGGCTGCATAAACATGCTGTAGTCTCTGCAGGTCTTGGAAAAGTTCTGAATGTCACAAAAGTAGCTCAAGGTCCCATATTACCTTGAGCTGCTAGTTCTGTGCTGTGCCAAAGTTAATAAACAGTCCTACAATGAGGAAAAAGCAAACCACATCTATACACACGTGTATGTGTACACAATGAATCAGTTTCTCCGCTCCATTGCACACAAATAACTCAGCTGAAAATAATGCAGTTCCAGTGGCATAAAACCAGTGTAATGGGGTGGAGAATTAGACCCATGGGATATAATGAGGGACAGCCTGTAAGGAAAATAGATTTTAGCTTCAAACAGATGGAGAGTAGAAGAGTTAAAAATACACCTAAAAATGAGAACTGAAGGGTGGGGAGGAAAAAAAACACCCTTGAAAGTTAGCTAGATATTGCCTCAAATGAGCCTGATAACATGAGGCCTCTCCAGTTTCAGACTCTTAATCACAATGTTCATGCGTAACTTGATGAAATGGATTAAGATGGATTCTGTGCAACTTATTATTAAAATGAAGAGCTCAGTGGCTTAAAACTAAACATTTTGACACTATAATGGTTCCAGTGGTATTAAAAATTGTGGGGCATACAAGACTCAGTCATTTGCTGAGCTTCCTAAATATAAGGTAAACGTTTACAAATTTAAGATAGTAGACTTCTCATTTTAATAGCAGGTTGCAAAAATGATTTGAAATATCTGTAGTTTGTAATGTGTCAACTATTGTTGTGGATTTTCACAGAACTCTAGTATCTTTTCTTTCAGCTTTTCTAATAGCTGCACTGTTTTTTTTTTTTTAGTTGGGAGTTGCAGAAAATTAAAGGCATAATTTTATTCTGATTTCTCTGCTTTGCCAAAGAGTTTGCAGCTGTGGTCTCTCAGGTGTGCTTATGTCTTGCCCAAATGTTGTAAAAACAACAACAAAATCCTCATTTGACTTTTCTCTCTCATCTACTTATTGTTGCGTCTGTGCAGGAAGTGCTGCTTAACTTTTGACAGTCCCACATCAGCTTATGTTCTGGGGTTTCTAACTGATAAAACAAGCATTACCCTAGATTGAAGCTTGACACAAGAAGTGCTGTCTCAGTTCACAAAAATATGGGAATATCTGGCAAGTTTTCTTTTTATACTGTAAATGTTCAAGTAATTCAAAGGAGGGCTAGAGGAATGACCAGAGTCAACAAGCATGAAAGCACTAGATATGAAACGGGTGCTGGGGAAGATCTGTGAAGTCATGAATAGAAGGCATTGGTAACGTGGCTGAGAGAGAGGACTGGGGGCAATATTTAGAAAAGGTGAAGGTAAAGCTTGGAAAAAAAATTGGAAGTGAACCAAAGCTTGATTTCAGAGTCCTTGATTTTGCAGCTGGCTCTGCAAGGGCTCCATGTACCTGTGCAGAGCTCTGCTGAGTTCAGTGGGCTTCTGTATTTGTAACCTTGAGGAACTGCCCAGGGGAGACATTTGTAGGATCAGGGTCCAAACAAGGAACTATCTATGGGGTTGAAGCCTGTGATCCAGAATGTCCCAGTTAGCTTTACTGTCTCAGATCAAGACATTGCATGTCCATTTGAGACCTGTTTGTCCTGACCTCTAGAGCAGACTTGTCATTTAAAGGCAAACTGTGGCTGGCTGAATGTTCTTTAAATGAACTAATGTAGTTTTTTTGGTTTTAGGAAAGAGTAATGTTGAGCTCCTTTTTGTGTTTGGAGTTAAATTTGTTTGCTAGACTTCAAGTCATCTGCAGTGATTACATGAACCTGATCAAATGATATCAGCCCAGGTTGTAAAAGGCTCTCACACATTAAAAAGATTGCATCTTAATAATAGATAAAAAAGGAGAGGTTTGGTATTTGTCCTTTGTACAGAAATACCGAAGTCAGTGCCTGCCTTGTGAACTTTAGTCTAAGAAATTGCTTAGTTTAAATCATTACCTGGATTCCAAGTTACCATCTGATGTTCGTTCTGTGGCCAAGCTGAAATAAATTTAATGGACGAGAGTCTCTGACCAAAACCTCATAAACACGGTTGCCACCATTTGGCTACCTGATTAGCAGTCCTGGTAGAAAGGGTCACAAATGACCGTGTAGACCTAAAGAAAGCTTATCCTCTCATCCTGACATCTGCTCTAGTGAGTTGGGCTTTGCAGCACACTGGCAGGTGAAGGTCTGGAAGCTAATGCTGTTTCTCCCCTGACTTTTGGATAAAGAGAGGACTTTGGTTTCCAGGATGATCATTCCACCATTTAACTGGTAGGAAAGCCCTATAGTTTTTTTTAAGGAGGAGAAATTAAAGATAAATATTTGGCTTAGAGTGTAAATATGTGCACACAGTGTAGGATAACAATGCTTCTTAGAAAAGCTGTTTCTGATATCACCTGGCATAGCTTTAACTTAGGATAAGATCAAGAAAATTTACAGCTGAAATAAACATAGCAAGAGGAAACATAAGGTAGGGGGTGTCTGTGCTCATGCGTGCATGAACTGACACGTCAGTAAGAAACAGGAAAAATCTTACCTTGTAGGAGCAAGTGGGATTGCAGAGGTGTACCTGGGAACAGAATAGGACCCAGCATATTTAAGCAAGTAACTACTGTGCTCTTCAGCCTGTAAGTGTGCAAGGGAAGGCAGTTTGGATCATCTAGAGGTCTTTTCTGTACCTACTGTATTAGGATTTTGGTTTTTTTAAAACAAAAGCTGCTTGTTTCCCCCTTCTTTTTTTGAGGAGAATAGCAAATATATATAAAAAACCTCTCGCACCAACTCTTGCCTCTTGCGTATTTTCCGGACCATCACTTCAATGCTACCAAAATATTTTTAGATAGATTTTAGGTGATGTGAAAAATTATAGCTCCAAATTTTTCCCCAGCTGCTTTACACCACAGGCACAGGCCTTCGTCTCCAGAAACCCTACCCCTAATGAAACATCCTAGATGTAGGGGCATTAGCAGGTGGCATAAATCTGCCATCAGAGGTTTTATCAATTAGGCACAGCTAACAATTGCCGTTGACAGCAGCATATGGCATTAGAGTAGCCCGAAGGATTGATTTAATGAAAAGAGCACCTTGGCTGGAGGGATCCTAGAGGACACCTTTGTAACCTCTTTTGTCAGATGTATCATGCATTCTTGGATTATTATTTGGCTATTTGTTTTGAGTTTGGATTTGGTCCTTAATGCATCCAAGAATGTACCTCTGGCCAAACTGCTGGTTCTCTGATAATCAAGATTTTGCATGGGTGCAGCCAAACCAGAATTTGAATTTCAACTTCCTTCACTGCTTTATGACTTTATTGCAGGATAATCTAGCAGGTGACATCTCTACACACAGCCATAAAATTAATTGGAAAGAGTTTCATAATGCTGTACTGGGTAAATTCCTCTTCATGTGCATCGTATTCAAAGCTAGGACAGAGACAATCCATGCAATTTCATGGCTGGCTCACTTGTGCTGAGAAATGAATCCCTATGGGAAAAGTGCTATAGGAAATAAACCTTCTATGGGTAGTTTAAGCCATATCCTTTACTTTC